GGCTCCTATCTCACCACAACTTGCCCAGGGTGCTATGGGATGGTGTACCCTGCTGCTTTTGGGCTGATTCCTTTCCATCCCCTGTTCTCCCTTTTTGGAATAAGAACATTTATCCTGTATTACTGTATGTTGTTAGCATTTAATTTTTCTAATTTGCACAGGGGCTCACAGCTATGACTTTGCCTTAAGTCACAGAGGGGACTGGACTTTCCAGCAATGCTAGAAGTGTTATACCAGGCAATGCTTAGAGATGGTATAAATGTATTTTTCATAATGAGAGGGACATGGGACTTTTGGGGGCCAAGGGTGGAATGTCATGGTTTAAATCTAAAATGTTCCCTCAAAGTGTCATGAGTCCAGAGGTATGCTTTTGGAAATGATTAAATCATGGTAAAACTACAGTCATCAGTGGGTTAATCCCCTGACAATTTCATAGCTGAATGTGCTGTTAGGAGGCGGGGTTCAGAAGCAGCACATCACTTAGACTGTGGCTTGAAAGAGTATATTCCTGTCCCTAGCTCTCCCCTCTTCTCTCTCTGCTTTGTGGCCATCATGGGTTGAACAGCTTTCTCTCATGCTCTTCTACTTTGCCATTTCTGCCTCAAATCCAACCAACTATGCATGGATTAAATCTTCTGAAGCCAGGACCCAAAATAACCCTTACGTCTTTTAAGCTGCACATGTTATTTGTTTTGTTCCCTCAATGGGAAAATCACTAGTAAAATATTAACTTTAAGCATTTGCTTCAAGTGTAATCAATTTGTATCCTATTTATTTGAAATCTATTTAAAATGTAATCAATTTTGTATCCGATTTAAAAATAAATATTTAAATAAGGAAATATCCTATTTATTTGAAATATTTAGAATAAAATCTTTTCAAAATGTAATCAATTTTGTATCCCATTTACTTATCTACGTTGTACCATTATAGCATCACTCACTGTTGCTACTTCACGTGCTCAATAGCTGCCTTGGGCTAGTGACTTACCTTAATTTCCAGGAGGGTGTGTGTGTGTGTGTGTGTGTGTGTGTGTGATCAGAATAAAGAAAGATCTAGAGTGCTGCTCAAATAATCAAACACTTGGAAGTACGGTTTGATAGTTATTGATGTATTTACTATGCTCACATTCATTGATTATTGGTAGTCCATGGATGGACCACGTGTAACTATATTAATGGAGTCATTATTGGTAATGCCCTGATTCAGCAACCACTTGTGATCAAAGTTCCTACTAACAAATCTCAGGGAGACACAGTACTGAATGGAAAAGAAAACAGGCAAGTGGAAATCACCATGGCCTCCCCAGGTTCTTCACGAGTAAGTCTGGGCCCAGATCCTCCTACTGGGGAAACCACCTTCCTTTGGTTCACGGAGGGAATTACTAAGGAAGGAAGACAGGGGATAGCTGTCAGGCAGGCAGTGAGACGAAAGAAGCCTGAGTAAGGAGGAAAAGCACCTAACGGTACAAAACAGGCAACTCTCTGGATGCCACTTCTGCCATCAATTCACTTTGCTAAAAGAGAACTCCCAGCATGTCCTGAGCCCTCTAGATAAAGGACCATTTATGGCCTGATTCTGGTTATGATTACAGTAAATACAGCATGGTATACAATGTCTGCAGAGTAGGGAACTAGTAACCCCATCTTCTGGGGAAAGGAGTCCATCTGAGTCAGCCACTGATCTGACATCCCACAGAGACTTGGAGGTTAGTCAACACAGTGGTTCTCAGTTTCACAGGAGAGTACAGTTCTAGGAGAACCTGTACCTTTGGATTCATGGCAGCAAGTTACTCCCTGTAAAATGGGACTCCTTACTGATACAGGGATCATGGCTTCATCCTGTAACACTTTTAGGGAGCTAATGAGAAAATGCTTTTGTCGTGTGTTACCTTTTAATTCATACACTTCATTCTTTGACATTTGGTTTAGTTTACCAATTGGCCCTTGTGATGCTTAAGCTTGTCACGCTGATTGGCTTGGGAGTCATCTAAGGGGTTAGAGAAGCACACTCCTGTGTGTGTCTGGGTGGATCATGAGCCATGCCCTTGGGTACTAGACATCATCTCTGGCCTGTTCCTCATGGTACCATTTCCCTGCTCTGCTTCCCTGTTGCCTCAAACTAAGCAGTTCTGCTCTGCCGGGGTGTTCCTGCCTTGAAGTCCATGACCATGGACTGAATCTCCTGAAATCACGAAGCAAATCTTCCTTTAAGTTTTTGGGGTAACATATAGTGTCCCAGCAATGGGAAAGTTAACTAATGCATCCTATTTATTTACTCTGACTTGCTCATTATATACAAATATAGACTTAATAGAAAGTAAACAAACTCATATTTTCAATGTGTCTTCAGTATCAAACATTTTCCAAACATTATAATCAGTCAAAGCTGGGACAGGACAAAGCTATTTTATATACAACGTTCTCTATGACTGTGTCTCTCTGCGTGTGTCTCCTAGTATGGCACACTCCTCTTTTTCTGCCTTTGTCACACACACACACACACACACACACACACACACACACACACACCTTTTTCAAAAGAAATGGTACACAGACCACAAACCCTACAAACCTAAGACATCTTTACTAGTTTATTATTTTCAGTGCTTTCTTTCTAAATTGTGGGCTCAATCTTTTATCGCTTTACGTTACTTTTGAATTTATTTTACACAGAGACATGCAGTTTCTTTGTGTAAGTAAGAAAAGAAGTCCTGTGCAGAACATTATGTGAGAAATAACCTCAGTCACCCTCCTTCCTATCACCTATCGTTTGTTTTTGCTGTTTGGTTTCTCATAGAGGAGAAACTACACAGCTCACAGTCTAGATAGATCTTTCTCAAATGGGAAGAGAATCAACAGATGGAGGAGAGAAGGCAGGATGGAAAGAGGAATCAGGATGTGCTGGGTACCTGTACCAACTCCACACCAGGAATGTAAACATACTGCAAACAGACAACTAAAAACTCTAAAACCCCCAAACCCTAAAAACAAAGAAATAACTTCAGGAAACCATTTTACAAGTATGTAAAACTATTGCTACAGCTATTCATATTTTAACCAGTTGACTAATTAGGAATTCTGTATTCCTTTGTACCTTTCATCTAAGTAACTTCCTTTATTACTGACTGAAATTCTGAAAGTTGAATATATCAGGGTTTATCATTTGTCATGAATTCTTTTGCTCACAGTCAAGAGGATGCCAAACTTTCACTTCACTTTTCTTCACCCATGCAATAAATGCCCACTTAATTTATGGCTTTTATACGTCTAGCAGAGCTACATTTCTCTAAGAATAGTGCTGCGGTCAATCCCTACCGTCCAAACGCCCAAAGAAATTTAGATTTCCTTCAAACAACCACCAATACTATCTAAAATTTTATGTTCTATTATGACATGATCTTTCCAGTTAAATACACACATCTAGAAATAGAATCCATGCCCTTGCAGACAGGAAATAGGTGCTCAATAGTGACAGTTCTAATGTCACAGGCCTGGAAACGACAGCAGCAGAACAAAAGCAAAATTGTTCCCTAAAAGACCTTGTCAAAGCCTGTGGCAGATCAAGGCTGGCCGCTTCACCCCCTACATCTTCTTCCCTCAATTCTTTCCTGCAATGAAAGTTAAGCGTTACAAAATGACGCTCACTTTATTGGTCTGTGTTGTATGCATCTCCCATGAGCACGTGGGGTTGGGGGGTGCTTACAGAAGGTCGGAGCCTTTTCTTTGTGCTACAGACAAGTCCTGGACTTTTATCTCAGCGCACACCCACAGAAGTCAAGAACTGCTAATGGTCATGTGCTGTTTGAATTCTTCAGAATGAAGGGAACCAGCTCCACGATTGGAGAAAAAGCAAAGACCATCATTTTTACAAAGTAGTGAAAGGTGCACCAGGCATCTATTCTCGAAAGTCCATCTACAGTGAAGATAAATATGAGAGAAGTCCCCATGGTGGCCTTCTGTTAGCCACTGCAGAGAATCTATCAGCACAACATACTGAAGCCTTTCTTTAATTTATTTGGCCTGGAGATACACACACGGGATACAGTGGCTTACACTTTGTACCCACCCAAACCTGCCTTTGACATGGTGTCCCACCTGCCACTCCCGAGGTCAGTGACTTCAGCAAAAGGCATCCCCAACTCTGAGTCAAAGACCTCATATGTAAAATAGAAACAATATATAACCCAGGGTTGCTTTGAGAGGGGAAAAAAATAATAATAAAGCAAAGCAGAATATGTAGCAATGCCTGACAGTGTTTGGAACAAGATAGGTCTGAATTAATATCGGTTCCCCTTTTTCTTTTTCACGTGTTTCTTGCAGCAAACGGGCTTTTGGCTTTGAAATACGAAACTTCTCCCCTCCCCCATCAGCACACACTTTTAAGTTGGCACCAACCTAAGAAAAGACATTAAGAAATGACAGCATAGAGACAGACCCACTTAACATGGGAGTTTTTTGGAAGGAAAATTAATAATTATATGTTAAACCTCATGTTGACTGTTAACAATGGAGACGCCAAATTTTCGCTACCCTCTTCTTTTACACTGTAGGTTCTAAGTAAAATGATACCACTTCCTTTAAACAACAACCTAAAAAAATAATGACAGATTATGGGATCAATTTCAGCTCCTATGTGTGATCTGCCCTCTAGTCTGTTCTCCACAAAGTCAATAGGTCAAAGGTGGAAACAGAGTAACTCTGGGCTTAGCAGCAGCTTGCCTTTAAGACACTGAGAGTCTAAAATGTGCTTTGCTAAGGAAGGGGCAGAGGTGAAAGACAAGACACAGTTTAAGAAACTTTCCCCAACACAGTTATGGCACAGGACCGCACGCATGTCATAAGGCAAAAGGAGAAAAACAGTGACAGAAAGACGGGGAGGAGGTGCAATTTAAGGGAAAAGAAAGGGTCACGGCTTTTTTTCCAGAATTTGTGCTGCAGCGGGGTCCACCGGGGAAGTTGTGGGGTGGGTCACTAACTCTAGATCCAGACCCAACTCACCCAGCTGGAGCTGTTCACAGGTCCGGTTTGGATTCTTTCCGATCCTGCATCTGTAAATCGCCCCGGGGTTGACGACCGACGCGTTGGCGAGCCAGGTGGCCGTGGGCGCCCCCACGACGAGCCTAGGTGAGAACGGCGCACGTGCGCTCAGCGCCAGCTGCGCTGCCCGCTGAGCTCCCCGCTTCCCGCCACACGCGCCCCGGGCCCTGGCACCAGCTCTCACGCTGGGCGGGCACTGCCACTCCCGGGCCGGTTTCCCGGGCCGAGCTGTGAGCGCCCCTGCCTCCTCCCGAAGAAGGGAGCGAAGTTTGGGTGCAGAGGGCGCAGCGTCCCCACCACTCACCAGCGGTCCGCCCCGTGGCTGTGCAGCACCACTGAGTAGCCGAACAGCGTGCCGGGGGCGCCCGGGTACAGCAGCGCGCTCTCCGTGTCCACGTTGTAGGGCTGCCCTCCGGGGACCCTCAGGCACAGCAGCTGCAGCAGCAGCAGCATCACCGTTTCCCGGACGGCGGCCCCGCGGGGCCCGGGCCAGCTCCTCGCTGCAGCAGCCATGCGTTCCCGTTGGGGAACATCCAACCCCAAACGGCGCCGGTCCAAAGTTGCAAGAGACGCGACGGGGGCCGAGGCGAAGGGCGCCCCAATTGCTGAAGCGCAGTGTGTCCGTCCGGCGCCGGCGGGCGGGCGAGAGGGAGGAGGGACGCGCAGAGGAAGGGAGGGGAAACCCGGCCGCGGCAGGCGGGGCGACCGCGGGGACCGCAGTGCTGCGCGCCCCCCGCCCCGCGCCCGGCTTCTGCGGCCTGGGGGTGCGGGCGCGCGCGTCTCGGGGCTCGGGCCGCTGGGTGGGGTCCTGGGCGTGGTGCCGAGCGCAGGGTCGGGCTCTGTCTCCCCCCACCCGGCGCGCAGCTGTAGGGGGCGCTGGGGGACCTCGGCTGCGCCGGACGCGCGGCCCTGCCTCGCAGCCCACGGAGCGTGCGGTGGCTGAGGTTCCCGGACCCGGCCGGCGTGGACCAGCAGGGGACAGGGCCACCCCCTTTTCACCCTGGCCCGGTCCAGCGCTCACCGGCATTGTGAGCAGCCGCCTCTGCCGGCGACCGGCCAGTGGGGCGCAAAGGCGGGCCTCAAGCAGGGAGGGGGCTGCAGCCCTCCAGATCTTTGTTAATGAAGCACTGAGTCGGGTTTTTCTTAAGCAGCTGCTAGAAAATACCCGGTGGGCCAGAAATTAAAAACAAGAGAAAAAGAAGCGCCTAGGGAACACTGTGGTGGCAGAGACATTATGGCTACTGTCTTGGAACCTCACAGCCCTGCACCCTTTTATGCCAACTTCCTTCCTCCCTGCACTTCCCCTCCGCCCCGACTGCACTCCTGGGTGGCAAAGCAGCAGTCTGGCCCCGTGGGAAATGACAGTGCCTCAGGCCGCCGCTGACCCCAGCGGTCAGTCCTGGGTGAATGAAGGAGTCGCTGGAATTGGCCTCACTTTTAATCTGTCTGCTTTGTGGTCCCTTCCCAAACGCCAATCAGCTGCCAGAGGCCGCCTGCTGCAGGGGGTGCAGGCTGAGTGTGGAGGGCAAGGTCACCCACCAGCAGAGTATCCACTGCAAGGCCCAGCTGGGTGCTGAGCCCCACCCCAATGCAAGCCAGCTGATGGAGCCCGGTTTCTTTTTGAGCAACTAGAGACCACCACAGGTGGTTATGGGCCCATATTGGCAAAGGTGCTCGGGATCTCTTGATTCACTGTTGAACGTGAAAACCCAAAGGAGGAGGAGAAGTGTGCCTGGAAGGATGCATCTGTGTAAGACCACACTGCAGTAGAGCTGATCTTCAGCTGTAGTGCAGACACCCACACGTGAGAGCCCTTGCTCACCAACCCTCAGCTTTCATCCAGGGGCGGGCGGGGAGACTGTGAGCAGCCTCTAGGTAGACCCTCTTTTACTAGCAAGGGAGAGTTCAGGTGCATTTCGGATGCTTAAAAAGATTTGAAGGACAAGAGGGTTGAGTCAGGTGAAGCAGTTTGAGGGAAACCCGTGAGAGGCTCTAAGTAGGGCAGAGAGAGAGGTTACCTGGCTGGGCAGTGAGCCATCCACACAGGGGTTGCTGTAATGTAGACCTGGCCAGGGAAGCAGCCTGACTTTCCCAAGGCAGGTGAGAAGCTTTATACTCCACTGCAGGGCAGATACGAATGCCCTGTTGCAAGACACATGTTGCAATATGTGTCTTGTTCTGCTACAGGTTTCAGAAGTGTAAATTAAGAGCCACTCCTTTATTCTGGAGGCTTCTTCAGTGACAGGCAGAGAGGGAGGATGACCAGTTGAGACGAAGGAGCAGAGCAGACAGGAAAAGAGATCCAAGAGCTGTCTGAGTCAGGCCCCATAGTGCTTGGGAGGACACAGACAGGAACAGGCCGAAACGCACTCAGGGTGATGCTAGTGCTTGGAGGTGGGATGTGTGGTGCTACCATTCATAAAGAACCAAACACGCTGGAAGAATGGGATCATGTGTGCATGGCTTGCACGCGGTTGGGGGTATTGATGAGTTCAGTCCTGGACATCTGCTGTTTGAGATCTGTGGAGTGCTGGAATATTCCAGCCAGACCCAACCCAAGTACTTTACTCTGACCACAGACAAAGCAAGAAGAATATTGGCCTTGTTTTATTATTTACAATGAAGTAAAAGGCTAATAATGGTATAAGTAGATAAATCTACTTTAAAAATGGAGAGTTATTTCCCACAAATATAGCTTCCAGAAAGGTAAAGTATATGGTAAATGCTCTCTTCTCTCTCTCTCTCTTCTCTCTCTCTCTCTCTCTCTCTCTCTCTCTGTGTGTGTGTGTGTGTGTGTATTCACGTGTGTGCTTCCTCAATAGATGTTCAAGCTGATTTTAACCCAGTTCTACATCTAGCTCACATTATCGTTATCCTAAAATATGTAATTCCTAGAGTTTGCAGCCACAAAACGTGCAATTGGGTTCCGGGAAGCCGAGAGTCCAGCCCCTGCCACACCATCCAGGCATGGCAAAGCTAGACATTATCAGAACCCCTGCCTTTTTTTGTCCTCTCACCAAAATCTTACACAGTGAAACCTCTCAACACTGCTGAGAAACAGTGTGTCCATCACTCAGGGCTAAGAAATCAGCCCTCTTACTAATAAGAAGTGTTTGCCACTTCTTTGGCAAAACCTGAAAATATTGGCCTCTAATCAGTACTTTTAATGGCAAGTATGAAAATCAGGTGTAAAAGAGACTAGAGGTAGGGGGAGAGAAGTTGTTGAAATGCCTTATGCCAACCTTTCACTCTCTACTGGGCTTAAACCCTCAGCCATTCACCTGCTAGATGTCATTTGATTAATATTGAACCAGGAGCTACATTAAGGACTCAAGAGCAGTAGACAAAATACAAGTGGGCTTTTCGAGACATCTTCCTCCGAGACATGATGCTAATGGACTCGCACACTGTCAGCTGTTACAAGAGGAAGCATTTTTTTCTTCTTAAAGACTTTCTTGAAATGACCCTGCCCTTTCTGAAGCTCCCTCCCCCCACTTCTTATTTGGCCATCCTGAGTCTCCTTGGTTGGCTCTTTCCCACCATGGTCAACGCTGGAAAGCCCCTTGTTGGGAGCCGCCGACACCGGTCGCCTTACTTGGCGGACGTAGGGCCTGTGGGTGAGAGCGGAGCCTGAGCTAGATTGCCCCTCCCATCGAGTGAGTCAAGTTGGCGCCTGCTTCCTGCCCCCTGATTGCGCTGGCGACTTAAACAACCCGCTCTGTAAGATAGTCTGCCTAGCAACAACTGATGTTAGCCAATCAGCCCGCATCGCGTGCTTTGAACTGATTGGCCACTTTCACCCTATAAAAGTGAATGCCTCTCCCGCCACGAGACAGGAAGCACAGAGAGAGATAGAGAAAGTCCACCGGCGAGAAAGGGCTGGTGGCAGAGAGGAGGCCTCGCGAGGCCCACGCGGAGACAAATAAAGGCAAGGTTGCACACCGCCAGACTTTGTCGTGTGTCTTTCCTGCCGGCCGGGAGCGACCCCGACATTTGGTGACCCGCACGGGGACTGATCAACCCCGAGACACGGCGGTGGTGTGCAACGCTCCAGCGTGGTGCTGCCGGACAGGTGAGTTGGGGATAAGCCTGGGCTCTGGGTGGCGCGCACCTACAGGGCTTTTAGACTCCCCTCAGGCTCACGCGTAGGTGACGGGTTCTTTAAGTCACACGCGGTGAGTTACAGCCATTAGAGGTTAGAGATGGGTAATTTACCGAGCGCAGAGGCGCGGCCCTTGGTAAAGGCCCTTAGGAAGCTTTTAAAAGCTAGAGACCTCAGGGTAGGTCAAAAAACACTGAAACTATTCATAGCAGAGGTAGATAGGGTGGCTCCCTGGTTTTTACCCACGGGGCATTTAAACCTGCCGTCATGGGAGAAGTTAGGCGGGGACCTCGCTTCGGCGGAATTGGAAGGGGATATTTCGCCGGCTATTCGCCCCCTGTGGGAAATGATACATGCGTGCCTTGACTCCTATGCCGAGTTGCGCCGCGAATTGTGTGCGTGCGCCGCTCGAAAAAAGCAGAGAGAGGAAAAAGGGCCCCCGAGCGCTCTCTGGCGGGGAGGAGATAGAGAGCCATCCGCTCCGCCCTGGAGCTCTTCTCCAGAAGCGGCTCCCCGCCAAGAGGCCGCTACAGGGAACCCTCCCTTCTCTCAGCCGGCACAGGAAGTGACGCCCCGTTCCACTCTGTCGCGACCGCCGTCCTATGACGTTGCGCTGCGGGGCGGACGGTATTTTCATGGGCGGCTACTCTGCCGAGCAGGCTGAGAAAAACGCCGGTCGAGGAAACGGGGGCTGGGGATTTAGCTCAGCGGCATAAGCGCCTGCCTTGTAAGCAGGCAATCGGGAGTTCGATCCCTGGTACCGATAAAAAAAAAAAAAAAAAAAAAAAAAAAACGAAAAAGACCAAAAATAAAAAAAATAAAAAATAAATAAAAAATAAAAAACAAAAAGGGGGAGTAAGCCAAGGCCTGCCTCCAAAGGCGCGGTTATCTATGGCATGACAATGGATGGGCCCGGATCCGGTGGTTAGCTGGAACCGAGGCGCGGTTTGTGTTTTTCCGCAGGAACCGGGACGAAAACCACTGTGGGTCCCAGAGAGGTTGACGCGACAAGTCCCTCGACTGAAGATCAGGCCTGTTCCACCAGAGGCCAACCACAGACCCAACAACAAGATGAGCCCTAAAAGAACTGCAGGATAATCCCTTTTGGGGAGCCTGGAATGGCTTGCTCCCCTATGTTTTACCATTGTTAGGTCCCCTGTGCTCCTTGCTTCTGCTCTTACTTATAGGACCATGCTTGCTCCGATGGGTCACATCATTTATTAATGGGCGCCTTGCGGCGGCCCGGCGTCAAGTACGCCTGGTTGCCCCTGCGGCCCTGGCAGCAGCCCGTGATGGGCACAATGACCCCCAGGCCTACGCATGGCTCGCTCGACTGGCCTACGACCGGGTCTAGGTGTGGCGGGTCTTCCGCATTCCTTCCCTAATGACACCACACAGCAGGGTAGGTGAGTCAATGACGGGTAAGAGCGTGCCTCCCCAGCACGACTCGACCTAAGCCAGGCCCTACCCCATACTGCACGAAAGCCGCTGGATTACTAGAATCTGCCCAGATCTAGATGCCTCTCCGAGGGGATCACACGGAGGGGC